CGTAAGATACCTCCCCCCCTTTCCTCTCGCCACCCCACACCCCAGGAGCAGAGGAGAGGCCTTACCTGACCGCCTGCAAAGATGACGGGAGAGCTGGATGGCTTGGGTCGGTACGGGATGGTGACGCCCTTCGGGGGAGACTGGGTGACAGGCAGAGAGGAAAGGTTAGACACCGAGCACCGCTGGCACCAACAATCCCCTTTTCTCTGCACCCCAGACACCAACACGCTGCTCCGGGTTTAAAATCGGCCGTTTGGGAGGACACGGAGCTATCCTACTTCTTCCCCGTCCCGGGCATGGGGCCGAGGGAGGGCACCCAAGGAGCACAGCAGAGCACGAGGGTGACTCGGGACGGCAGGACGCCGCTGCTCAGTGTCACCGCGGAGCCGTGGGCGACACCGTTAGCCGGTGAGCAGCTCTGGAGGCCTGGCTCGACCCCGGTTTTAAGCAGCTCCAAGCCTCACCTGGATGAGGCTGTAATCCCCAGCTATCCCTTTATCCCCCCAGCAGCCGTTTCTCTGGCCTCAGCGGTTTCCACTCGCGAGGATGGATGGATGTGGCTCACCAAGGGCACGTGCCTCCCCGGGAAGGGGTGTGTGGGGGGGGAACCCCAAACCCCAGGCCCACGGGGCAGGGAGGGGGAGGCCCTACCTCAAGCATGACGACGCAGATCTGTTTGACGCACTCGATGATGGACTGTGGGATCCCAGCGATGGTGATGGCTCGCTCGGTCGAGTTGGGCAGCATGTCTCCTGCCACCTGGACCTGTGCCCCCGTGCTCTGCAAAGTTTACAGTTAAAAATAGACGGTCAGACCCCGGGGAGGGCTGTGACCTCAGCGACAAACCCCGTGGCTGGGTTATACATAGCCAAAACTGCCCCCCACCTCCTTCTTTCCCCCAAAATAAAGTCCTTTAATCCTAGCTGGAAATAATTCGGTCATCGGGAGCCCAGGGCAGGAGAGGAGGACCTGGGCTGCAGCCTTTCCCCATAACCCAAGTCAATCCCGTCCCTGCGGCCAGCGGAGCTGGACAGAGTTAAGCCGTCGGCAGCACACGGTGCTCAATGGCATCACCGAGAGCGGCGCAGGCCTGGCAGCGTGTTCCCTCCCTCCAACAACTGGGAAAAAGCTGGGGGGGGGCCCCAAAATCAAGAGCCATGGGAAGGGGGGGAGCAAAAACCCAGGCATCCTGCTGCAGGGGACAGTGCTGGGAAGGGGAGGGTCTGCCCCGAGTCTCAGTTTCACAAGCACTAAAAATACAAGGAGCTCTAAAAAAGCCAAGCAATGCCACGGCTCTGCTATGCGGTACCACCCAGGGTGGGGGGCTGACACGAGGATTTACCCCCGGGGGG